ACATTTTTACGGGGACGACATCGCATAGTCAGAAACTACGTTCTGACACAGAGGGTTGGTTTGGGATTTCCAAAACGTGGGGAGCGACATAATGGAAGTTTTACTGTAGTGATTTGTGTAGAATTTCAAACAAATAACACTTCGAGGACGTTTAAAATTAAGCAGGCATTGTACTATGTTTTAAGGCAGTATGCTCAATTTCCTTTAAGATTATGTGACATCCGGAAGACGATATCAATTTACAGCTTTTGTGTAATAGAATAACATGAAAAGAAACAGAAGCATGTGAACCTTGAATTCGCCAAATGTCAAGCGACCACCGGTAATGAGTGCAGGATCAAGAAAACCAGAGAGATCTCATGCTTTTAAAGAATCTTATTTTTGTACTATTATCCTGAAAACTCTCCCTGTTCGCAGATTTAATAGGTGTAGTTATGTTGTCGGCAGTGGTTAGATTTTGAAAAAATCGAAAAATCGACGCGCCATAATTNACACAGCGATGTCAGTAGAGAATTATATTCGCCGACGTTTCGGTTACCGTGGGCAACCTTTCTCAAGGCAGGTTTTACAATCAAACGACTCACAGGAAAGGATTTCAAGTTAACGGATATTGCATCGTGCCCACGGGTAACCCAATCGTCGGCGTTTATTATTCTCTACCGACATCGCTGTATTATTAACACTATAACATTCACAATTGGTCAAAATATGTTTCAACACCAAGAAAAACGCTTTAGAGATGTGTCTACGTATCGATCTGACCCAAGCAAGTTCCCGCCTAATATACACTAATGACCATGGGTAAATTAAATACAGTAGACCTGCATATGACTTTTATTGGTGGGATAATTCCAACCGGACGAAATTGCACAAAATGGTATTCATAAAAATACATCAACAGCTCGGAAGTTTCCCAGAGAGCCTTCATAAAACTGCCACATGTTTATCATCATTAAAATGATTTGTGTTCGAAAACGCATACTATTCATTCCATTTGTGATTTCACTTTTGAGAAGGGGATGGAATTCTCAAGTAATGCAACTGAATAAACCAAAGATACACTAATTATTTTGTCTATATTTTACACAGACTAAAACGGAAAATCAATGCGTGACGGTTGCTGACGCGGACAAAACCAAAACCTCACTTATCTGTGGTAAGGAACAGCAGAACGAGTTCGTCTCTACTGGCAAAGACGTAATTATCACCTACGGATCGCAGGACACAGGAAAGACCTATGTGGCAAACTTCAAAATACATTATCAATTTGGTGAGTAGCAGCGTGTAAATCCTCATTTGTCATTTGCCATTCGTATTTGGATGTGATATGCTATCAAGTCAGTCAGTTGTGGTTAGAATTGTGCAAAATGTACACATGATTATTGCAATTGATCATTTTGATGATTTCACTCAATTCAAAATTCTCCTTCGTTCCAACAACTTTCCGTTTTCAGATGCTGCGGTCAAATCGATATCGTCCACATTGCTCTTTGTCGTATGCATGTTGTTTGGCACGCACCTTCACAGCTGCTGAGCAAAAGTGAAATTATGATGTTCTGATTATTCTAAACTCATAAAATAATAAACGGTAAACTTCTGAAACTTTTACTCTGAATGACTTCTTTATATTATTACTTGAACGGTTCACGTATGGTCGAATACAAGGAAAACTGCGATTACGAAGATTGTGGCAGTGAGAAACAGTGACATCATCATCTTCTCCAGCCCACGCGTCAACCGGGAACGTTATATGGGTGATCTCTGATGGAGTATGCGCCATAAACACGAATGAATGAACCCGGCGTTATTTTGACCTCTGTCGATCGAGCAAGGAAACGAATCACACAAAAATGTATCAATAACTCGGTCACAATGGCCAGGCGTGAATGTCAGTGAGCATGGTTCTATGCCTGAGTGCATTCAGACCAAGCCCTGAATATGTTAATGAGTAAACTCCAGTGGGCCCGTGACTCCTTCAAATAACACCGATTTCGTCGAATCAAGTGTGATTGCCTACCTATTCTGCCAGTGAGAGGCACGCTTGACGAGAAATCTGCAATGCGTAAGCCGATAGTGTGACTATTGCTACACAGGTCAGATATGATTCCTCTGTTGTCTGCAATGAAGATGGAGACAATGGTTGGTGAATATTTAGACTAAAATGGAATAGACCACTGTGGTTGATAGTTTGTAGAATTTTCACCCCAACGAAAAGCAAATTCGATCTGACCAACTTAGTATGCGGGTTTCATATGACTCATTAGTTTTACCAATTCACGAACTGTCTGCTTGAGTTGCCTTCAATCACCATGTGCACTGGAGGACACTATGAATATATCCACCAACACAACGTGGATAAACAGCCTACTGTAAGTGTACTTTGTTCTAAGTTCTACGAAATTCCTTAAGCATCTGGCATATTGACGTCAATAAAGATAGAGCTTCGTGAATTATATCTCCCATTCACAAAAACGTTCAGCAACTTAAGAAAAGTCAAATGGATTACAAATAAAGCATTTTGATAGCTGTCGAATAAGGTGCACGAACATGGTTAGATGCATGCTGACAAAGATTTTTTGTCGTTTCAGTAATGGCATCACTTGCAATACTTTCCATATGTGACATTCTCCAATTATGTTGGCTCATTTCTCCTTCAGGTTCAGCCGTCATGATCCTAGTAGGTAAATTTCGCAGCTGCTGTAACTTTTCATAATGCTTTTTTATAATTGCCATCGAATTCAACTCTGTAGAATATGAATAAAGTTTGAGAATGATGGGTCTTTCTCCGGCATGGCCAATTTCCAGTTCAGAGTGACAGAGTGCTCCGTCAAACCTAATCAAATACGATTAGTGTTCTTCTTGCAACAGTTAGAAATAGATGCAATTGTCCAGCGGTAATCTACAGCATTTTCCTATCAAGTCAGTACACTAATACACCGACGAATATCGTTTTTTTGGAAAAGAATTAAAAATTGTTAAATTTCCTCTTTCTTACATCAACCACAACACACGCCTAATAAAAATTCAACAGACTATTGTTGCCACCACAAACCCTTTTGAGTGTTGTGTTGTGGATTGTTTTTTTATATGGGATCGATATTGCTTCACCGAATGTTCATTAGGTACTACAATCGTTAACGTGATTTTCTTACAAATAAGATCAAACAATTTCGACACATTTCACATTCAGATTGCGTAGGTGGAGTACAAGAACGTGTGACTTTCTTATCTGAATGAGCAGTCTGACTTTTTTGGTCTGTTCCCCCACCAACATCCGGTAGAGCGGTCTAATAACTGGAATGGCGCAAGATCCAGTGTGCATGACAACACAATTGAATGGAAAAATGAAAACAGTCGCAAAGGTTTTTTGTGGCAACAATAGTCTGCTGGTTTATATTAGGCAACAATATCAAAGGTGCCAGTCAAGAATCAATCAAAACGGGTGCGGAAGTGTGAGGAAAAGACAGTAACTGAGGAAAGGGGGATAACGTAAAATGTGTCACATAGGAATATGACGGCATTCGTATTCGTGGGCACGGTAACACAAAGGTAACATCTTTATTTGTCGATATATCCCTTGATTCACTAGAACGGAAACACAGTGTCTACAAGACATTTGTCTCGTGTTCCTTTAAACCGTGTGAAACCGCAATGGGTGGCGGTGACTCAGATCAGTTCAAACACTTCCTGACCGCTCTGTTGCGATCTTCTGGTGTTCGCTACAAACAACTCACAATTGTCAATCATTGCAAAAATGACTAAACGAGCGGTGACGAAAAAGATTCGACCTAGTTGTTAACATGAAGTTGGAGTTATC